ATTGATAAGTGTTTTAAAGACATATCATGTTTAATTCACTTAACATGAAAATAATCTGCACTTAAAGTCAAAAATAAAAAACTCAAAGTTAGTCTCAAATTCATAGAAAACTTTTTCAACATTTTTTCCGCAAAACTTTATGCAATGTTTGAGTTATATCTGTAGAGATAGTGTCCACCCCTTCACATACCATACCATATAATAGGAACAGTAGTGTAGGGAACAGCCTATTTGGTACAAAAGACCTTCAAAAGTGCCTGAAGACTACAATAGTCTGTGAATTTGAAGTGTTTCACCCCTTTGTAACGAATGTAATATTAAACACATGTCTAGTAATACAGTATATAATGTGGTATTCTGTAAGACCTTGTAATGAGAGGAACGGGATGTGTGCTAAAGGATTGATAATTTTACTACAATATAGCATAAACTCATATTTCAATTCATATAACACTGTGTTTTACTAATCGTTGATTAGTAATCATTTTCTATGTCTATGTCTCATATTATCTAATATACAGTAGTAGTAATAGTTTTGTACAGAATTTGCAGAGAATTTTGATTAAAAGTTATTGAATTGAAGTAAAGAAATATAATTACTATGAATTGATATAATAAAGTGTATAAATAACCACATTGATCAATACAGATGTTTATTGTATAGTTTATCGTTTAATTTAATTAAGTTTAAACGTGTTTAACATATAATTTATTATGATACGAGCGATAAAAACATAATTGTATGTAACTTATGAGTGTGTGATACATACTGGCACATGAAATCCTATTCATTAAATGTAATTAACTCATTACATGGAGTATGATTTCATGTAAAAATGCTATTAGCTGCAATGTAAATGTAAATGGTGAAAAATCAATATAAATCGTGTGAAGTTCATCTAACTGTAACATATTAAACTACAGTATTTCACGTTGTATACTAAACAAGTTGTATAAAGTATTTCAAGTGTAATAGAAACTGTGAAAGTGATGTGTAAATATAACTTAAACTATTGATTTTTGTCTACACCTAGACTACATTAAAAGCGTTTGTTTCGTAACAAACAACAAAAAGTCAATAAAAATACAATAGTTTTCATATTTTCAGTGTTTTTCCGATTGTAAACTCGCTATTGAAAACAATTTTAAAACACTTTAAAACATTTGTCACATTTAATACTCACTATAACTGAGGTATTTATGCGAGAAAATGTGTTTTTAATTGATTGCATGTATGGTGTGTTATACTGTACTTGTGTGTGTGTTATAAATAGATAGAAACCCCTTTTACCCGGGAGATATAGAGGGAACGGTAGCTTGTATTGTGATAAACCTGTCACACATACCTGACACATACCAGTGCCAGTGGGGCGGACCACCATCAGGCTTGAAATATGTATTTGAATTTCATATCAACTTTGATGACAATCAAAATAATAAGTCTTTCGACGCTATGATTATTAGAAAAATGTTTTCCACTCGTTATATAACCACTCATTGAATTGTGTCCACAGATATGATGTTGACTTCATCGGTGGTCAAGAAGTTGATTGTCGGCCAAAACAGTCGCTTATTATCACTCAGAGCTGTTTTGGCCGCAAATGGTGGT